TTGGTTGTGCTGTTCAGTGTATGCTGTTCCTGCCTGCATCTTACACCCTGCCACTATGTATATATTCTTTATCAGTTTTTTTTCCTTCAGGTAGTAGGAAGCATTTAATTGCTAGTCCCCAGCAGTTATAATAGAACGTTTGATGTCTTGCAGCAGTGAGTAAAATGGGGCTATATAATTTTGTTCAGCTATGCATAAGCATCCCATTCAATTTCATATATTTATATGACTACTGCATACCTGCTGAAAATTATGCTGGGGTAGAAATATGAGCAGAATTTAGGATTGTGAGAAAATTCCTATGAGCCACTTTTCTAAGATACAAGATGAATCTTATGACAATCTTGGGTTGCATTCAAAAGGGATAATGCCACTTTATTCCTTAGTACTGAGATTCATCTCTATGGTTCAGAATAATCTAGCAATAATAATCTGTGAATTGTATTGATGATGCCTTCTTTTTTTCTGTTACTTAAAATCCTCAAGCATCTTTTTTTTAAGCTCTTAATTAGCTCTTTAAAAAAGCCACAGATTAGTTCAGCTACTGTTCTTCCTCCCTACATGTCTGCCAAAATGCTTCTTCCCCCCCCACACCCCAAGAACTGCCTTCTTATCCATTGTGGCTGTCAGATTGGGGTCACAGAGGTAGAAATGCCCTGTCTGCAGGAAAGAAAGGATCTCATTAGTGCATCTGCAATACTAGTCAGGAAATGAGTAAATAATTACTACTTTTGTGAGGAACAGGGACTAAGATGGCACCTTCCACCAACTCTGTTTCCAATTATTGCCTTACATGTTTTGTTTTGCTTTTTAAGGAAATAATATAGTAGAAGGGGAACCAAGCTATTTTTCAAAATATTTTTTTCTATTTTGTATTTTTGAAAATATAAGTTTTTGTATTTTCCGTTGCATGCAATTTTTAATATACTTTTTTCCTTGGGAAATATCAGCATATGACTCCCTGTAAATGTGTCAAGTGGGAAATCCATATACAGTACTACTATGTTTATTTAAAACTCACTGCAGAACGCTGCTCCCAAGGAAGAAAAATTCAGATAAGGTTTGAAAAAGATTTGCCTCTTCTTAAGAGCAAATAATGGCCTTGCTGCAGGCTATTTGCCCACCCAGATTATCAGTTAACATCTTCCTGAAACTCCTGGACTTAATTGGGAATCATTAAATATTAAAATGCAGATTGATTTTAGAAGCCAATCACGTTTGCGTTGTAGCTCAATGCCTATAATTTGAGAAGGGGGCTGCGCTTTAATTTTCAGAAAGGAGCTTTATTCTTGTCACTGGTTCAATTCAGGGCAAAAATAAATGTTTGTTGTCCAAGAGGATTGCTTTAGACTTCAAACACTGGCATTGCTGGGTGGCAGAGAGATAGTTTATGCTCTTAAGATGTACTTCAGAATGCAGAGTGAGCAGAACGAGCTGCTTTTGCACTGAAGTGCTGACCCAGGAAGATACTTGAAGCTTGTAGCTAGCAATATAGCTAGCTCAGAAATTAACTCCCCCATTGCTGTTTGCCAAAACTTACTGTGATTTCAGGGCAATTCCAGGAAGTTCTGGAAAGGTTGAATTTAGCATTTTATTTTATGCTTTGTTATCACCATCATAGGTACCAATAACATGGTAGATTTAAATGAGTTGTTCCAGCACTGGTAAGCAGGGGTGTTGACATAAAATCCTTCCTGGATTAACATGCTTCAGTATTCTTTGGGTGCTAAAAAGAGAACATTAACTAAATCCCTTTATGGCTTCCAAGCCTTTCTGCTGATATTTATGGGTCAGTTGTTTGCTTTTGTTTGTTACTCTGAAAACTTGTTCTTTTATTATCAGACTTGGGTACAGGAGTGATATATCGAAGAAGGATTGCAACATGCCAAAATGTAATTCCACAGATTTTAAGAAAGGTAACTAGTTCAATCCATTGAAATTCATTATATTTTTAAGATGATATAAGCAAACTATGTTTTTGTTCATTAGTTTAACTTTTCTGAGTTACGGATGATGGTATTTAAAATCCCACTTTGTGTCTTAATGATGAGATAGCTAATGTTCAAAGTCCTTATCTCAAAACGAGTATTGTAAAGCAATCAAAACAACATTTTTACAATATAGGAAATCTTGCTCTAAAATCAGAATAGGATGGTGATTCTTTTGTTTAAACTTCTCATATCTTCAACTTTCAAATTAAATTACAATATGTTCTGCTATGTATCATAACACTTTTTAAGGTGCTTTTTTAATCTGACATATTGAAAATATAATGATTCATATTTACTGCATTTCTTTTTACCCCTTCCATGCCTCATCTAGATGGGAAAACATAAAATTTACAGGTACCAAACAGAATGAAAAATGAACCCAAATGTTTTGAGTGATTATGTCTTGTGGGCAAACAGTTGGTGAATGCTTTCTTTTGGGTCTGTTACATTAAACTGGACTTAAAAGACAAATAAAATGACACACATTAAGTTGATGCTTTGCTTTAAAACATTGCAATTGGCAACACTTAACAGTGGTGCTAAGCGGTGAAAATAACCATTAAAAGCTTGCATGATTTGATCATCAACTGCTAAAGTTAATTCATGTGTTAATGTCAATGGTTACATGTTACTGATGGATATTAGCCTTAATATAACTATTAATCATTTTAAAAGGATGAAAACATTTGCTGAATATACATAAACTAATCTTTTTTTCCAAACTCCATTTACCCACCCTGTAAATATTGCATCTGGCAGATTAATATCCTGAAAGTGTCAGAAGTCTATTTAGAAGAGGAGTCATGGCTTAATATGCAAGAAAGAATTATGTCTATGAAGACTCATTGTCTTACGTGGACAGAGTATGCCACCATGAATGAAGAATCAGTCTTCAGAGAAAGCTCTGAAAATCCTAATTGGTAAGGCATAGTAGATTCATTTATTGCAAAGAGATACAGTGGTACCTCTAGTTACGAACACCCCTCCTTACGAATTTTTCAAGATACGACCAGCTCCGGCCCCAAAAATTTACCTCATGTTGCGAACCACCTCGAGTTACGAACCGGATCTGCAGCCATTTTCCCTCCTGTGACACGTGGCCTGCGGCCATTTTTCCGCCCGTTCCATGTGGTCTGCGGCCGTTTTTCTGCCCCTGCCACATGGTCCGCGGCTGTTTTTCCGCCCTGCCGCATGGTCCGCGGCCGTTTTTCAGCCCTGATGCGTGGTCCACGACCGTTTTTCCGCCCCTGACGCGTGGTCCGCGGACACCGGAACAGATTAACGGTCATTACATTGAACCTTATGGGAAAATTTGCCTTGTGTTGCGACCAATTCAAGTTGCAACCAGAGTCACGGAACGGATTAAATTCGTAACTCGAGGTTCCACTGTGTATGGATTTTCATGTACCACCTTCAGTAGGAAGAACTGAAGGTTTTGCCTTGGGCAGCTATGATAGTTCTTGGTGATATGGTAAGTCTGCACAATTTGTGAGCCACAAGCCAAGGGCTGCTTGCCGTATGCATGTTAATATGGAGATTCAGTGAAAATATTGATTTGAGGCCTTTCTAAGACTTTAACATGTTCTTTTTGTTTGTCAGACAGCTTTCAATTGAGCTGTTGTGCTCCATTAAAAGTTGATAGATAGGATGTCATCCAGCTGTATGAAAGTCATAAGGGACAATGGAAGAATACTCTTTCTGGTACCTAGTTGTCTCTAAAGCCTTATTTTCATATTTTTTATATTGCTGTCATTATTTATTGATTGTAATATTTTTGTGCCATTTTTCATGCTAAAAAGGCTTTTGGAAAGATTTATTACAAATTAAAAAGAGACAACAGTGGCAGAAAAACATAAAACCAACAGTAACATCACATTAAAAACATTAAAACAACAATATGGTCCTGGAAATAATATAAACTGTAATCTTATAGCCCAGGACTGTTATATAGGAGGGGTTAATCAGGAGATCCCACCTTGAAAGGGGAAACGAAACATCGAGTCCCTTTTTTCAACTTTTGCAAACCATCAGAACTCCAACATTAGGAGAGGGAAAAGTGGGGAAGGTAGTATAGGATCTGAAAGATCCAATTCTTCACAACACTTCAGCTGGAGAGAAAACTTACACCAGCCCTGCAGCTGATATAACAGAATTACTTCCCATTGTTTGCAAAGAAAAAAATGATGAGTATGTGTTGTTTGTTTGTGTGTGTTAAAATTGTAGCTGGGACCAGAGGGCTCAAATGCCTCTCTGCTCTCACTTCCAGTCTATTGGTTGCATTGCCCAGAGGGCGCTGGATAGTTTCTTGAAACCTCCAATCCTGAGGGGCCTTGAAAGGAGAAGAGCATTGTCTTAGTAAAATGCCTACTTGAAAGACCTAGTGACACTTTTTTAAACAATGAAACTGTTTGTAATTCTATTACAGATACTATATATTTTATATTTTGGGAATAATACAAGAGAAAAGCCTGTTGCACATGCCTAGCAAACACATTTATGTGAGTAAACAATTGCTCAAGAAGGCCTCCTCTATTGATGGTAATATTTGGGCTGGTTTGTACAAATAAACTAATCAAATGTTTGGGACTGTTTTGTTCAAATTAAATAGAAAATACCACATCCCTCAATACAACCAAAGACAATCCATCGCTGATCTCCCATGTTATATGAATCTTTGACTTCTAAAATACTTTAAAAATGGTTTACCACTTTTACATTTAAAAATATCTATTCAAAAGAATTGAACATAAAATACGGAGGTGAATGTTTGTATAATAAATGTACCAAAATGAAGCCGACTTATGCAAAAGTTATGTTGGAAATACATTTTTTTCATTGAAATCTGATAAAAAATTACAACACAAAAATAAGCTGTATTCTGTAAGGTGTACTTTCTAAAATCTGGTTACACTTCCAAAGTAAAGATTTCTTCAGATGAAGGCCAACTTTCGTTTTATTTTTGAGCTATATTCCAGTTGTTCTGGAAAAATAAGCAAATGTAATGAACCATTGATAAGAACAAGAATAACATCCAGACAATTGTAGCATAAAAGAAGAATATGGTGGAATTTAAAAATTGTCTTGAATGCTATAATGTAAACTACTGGCTCAGTGCAATAAATCTTGTTTAGAAAACCCCATGAAATAAAAATGAAATGAAATAATAACCGGCCCAAACTTAATGTATTATGAAAAAGTTAACATTGTTCAAAGTACGAAGATAACTGGGATTTTTTTTTTTGACAGCTATTTTTATATGAGCTCAATTTTCTTCAAGGAATGTATTTACTAGATAATTAGAATGTACAGCAAATATTAGTCACTTAGTTTTAATACATGGACCCACACAAAAAAAGTGCTCCTTCATTCATGTGGACTGGGACCCATTCTCCTGTGGTTTGAATCCATTCTGAGGAAGGGTGTGTGCAGGGATATTTTTAGCCAGTTGATTAGAATTAATTGGGTAGGAAACTGTTGGTTGAGAAGGACATGCTTTTGACTTCAGTCTTATGGTTTGGATATGAAAAGAAAGCAGCCCTCATAATTTTGTCTACATTAGTTTTTGTGGCTCACTTTAAAAGATTGGAGCTATAGAGGATGAAAAAGAGCAGATCAGTTGGGAATGCTACATGAAAGTAAGTCTTGGAAGCAACAGATCCATTACAAAAATATTTTGGTCAGCTTCTCATTCTGAAGGGGGAGGGACATTCAGGCTTCCACAAAGAAGGATATGATTTTTGTCCTGGGTTAACATATTTGAAACAGTGAAGCACATCAGTTTGTTATCTTTGAATTGCTACCTACTAAAATTTACTTACATTCTAATTCCTATTAGATTCTAACACTAATCATCAGGGCTTAAAAAGAGCACAAAATGAGATGCAATGTCAGTCCTTCAAAATGATCCTGAATTTCATTTCAGTAGTCAGAAGACTGTCTTCAAGCTGGCCTAGCAGGATGAGTCAATGAGTAACATTTCTGTAGATTTTATAAACAGAATCCATGGTTCCTCAAAATGAAGGGATTTCTAGGGATAGTATGTAAACCCTGATGTAGTCTCAGAATCCAATTTGGAAAAGGAAATATAAAGTATTATCGAAGGACTTGGGCAGAATGGGCAACAAAAGCTAGCTGATGTAACATGACTGCTGATGGAACTCAGGAAAAATTCTCTTGTATGAAACAGTAATTGACCTACGATTTGTTCTTTCATATCTGGGGGCTGCCCTTTCTTCACAATTTGGTGCGTTATTTTCTTTGTTTTGGAGCTTCCCAGCCACTAAGTTACTGGATTTCTTCCTGTTGATAAACCACATAGGCTAATGCACAGTTGATACACTGTGGCTGGGGAGTAAATGAATAATCTACTATTGCTGTTGATTCAGAAGAGACATTGAGTGATCCATCAGGATTACCTTGCAATTTGCAAATAAACATTTAAGTGGCAACTTTGTCCTCTCATCTGTTAACCTTATAAAGGGTTTATAGCCAAATGCAATGGCTCTTCTCTTTAGTTTATATTGGCAATAACAAAGGGAGAGCCCTCTGAATCAGATCAACTCATCTGGTCTAAAATTTTTTATAACACAGTAGCCAAGCAGATGCTTTCAGGAGGCTCGCAAACCCAGAATTTCTGCCTTTCTGTATGTATATACGTATACTTTGTGGAGAACACTGTATTCTGTCTTCTCTGAATTTCATTTTCTTCTTTTCCACCTGAGCATTCAGTTTACAACTGACCATGCTTAGTCTTCACTGGGCCATTCTTAAGTTTATTTTTTAAAATTCTTTTAAGATTCTTTGAAAAATACTTGTACATTGTTTTCTACAATGAATAAGACTTATTGGGAAAGAGACCTCCATGATTAGTGAATGTTCTTTGCTGTGACTAGATAGCTTCTTTGAAGTGTTTCTATTCATCTTAAGTCACTTCTGTTCCTATAGCTAAATTCCAGCAATGGAAGAAGCCCTTGGCAGTAAATGAAACATGGAATAATTGGATGGCAATATTGACAAAGAAATCTAAGTGATAAGTTTACAAAAACTACTTCATAAGAAAAGAGAGGCTGAATATTGAGTAAGCTGAATAGTATAAAATGTCTGAAAGCAAGGGAGTGGGACATTCATCTGACACTCATCCAAATATTAAAGACAGCCTTGTTACCTAGAAATCCTTTACTAGTATCTTATTTGAGATGTTCTAGGGAAAATGTGTGAAAACATCCAGAATCAACATTTACCAACTGGCTAAAATTCTTACAATGTCAACACTGAATTAGGACTATTGTACCTTGAAAAAGGTTGTAGTGCTATGAAATTTTCTCATTTACCTGGCTTTTAAAGTATGCTGGGATTATTTTGACAATATCTGAAAGACACCGTTTGAAATTACAGCAGCACCATTTGTTCCCATTGAAATTACAGCTTGCTGAAGCTTTGTTCTTTGCCCTGGTATGCATTCCAAAAGATGTCTTTTTGAATAGTCATAGAAAACGAGAAGGCAAAAAGGCAAAGTTAGTTTGCTCTCTGCTTCTCATAGCTTCCCATGTAGAAACATATGGAAAATTAGTCTTTGATCCTTGATCTTGGGAAGAAAGACTTCTAGACATCCTGTTCCAATCCCCAAGAGGAACATTGGGATTTAAAAGGCCAAACCAAATGTTGCAGCTCTAAAACTTTCTAAGGTCAGCTAATTTCTGCTTGCTAATAGAACTAAAAGGGCCAAGGAATATAATTTGGCTTGCTGTTGGTATAGCTCTGAAAGCAAAAATGTTAACTAATTTCATTTGTATTGGTAGTATATTCAAACCTTTGGTGAACAATGAAGCTTATATATTGAGCAGAACTGATTCCAAAATGTAATCCTATTTTTTTTTTCATGTTATCAAATGGTGCACACAGATCTTTGAGCTTTTTCAGG